TCAGCATTTCCGTCCTTTCTGACGATAGGAAGTTTACTTGTGCTTTTATGTATTTCTACCTAATCTGGGTATCTACCGCTTCCCCCTTATACTCAGCATGTAAATGTATAGAAACTATCTGGCCAGACCTAAGGGCTTTCCATCGTTATTCATCCCAGCCAGAAGTTTGTTATACTGATAAACATATCTGCACCCATAATGGCCAGCTATACTTTGCTAGATTATCAAAACAAAGCTATCAGTACACTAAAGCTGTTGTCATAGCCTGTAACACCCCCAAAAGCACAAATTGGGTTTGTTGGAATTTTGCTCCCTCACCCAAAGCTGAAAAGCTGATTAAAGAAACTGTGCAATTAGTAGCTCCTCCGACTGCCCAACAGTCAAAACCAACCCCCTTCCCTCAATCGTGGGAAGTAGGGCAGAATCTGTTTATAAATTTGGCTGAAAATATAGCTCGGACACTTGGTGTCACCAATTGTTGGGTATGTGGAGGGGCACTAATGAATGAAGAGTGGCCTTGTAAGAGAACTAATCTGAATGCTTACCAACTCCTCCAATGGAACCATTCTTTGACTGTTAGAACAGATAATGTACCCCAGAAGTGGATCCTCTCCTCAAAAGTAATTGGAGAAAACTGTTTAAGCAAAGCAGGTTCTGCTTATACTCAATGGGTAGGAGAGACTCCTTGCAAGAGAATATTATACTGGAATTCAACCCACCAGACCTGGTGGCCAACAAAGCCTGTTTGGTACTGGGCATCTGCTTATGCAACTAAATCTTCTCAATGTACTAAAGGGCTATTTTGGATATGTGGAAAGATTGCATATGCCCAGCTCCCAGCGTTATGAAAAGGCACATGTAACATAGGAATAATATAGCCAGGATTTTTCCTTCCGCCTAACCCAAGGGGGTGATGACCTAGGCATTCCTCTTTATGAATGCCTCAAAACCCCAGGTGCTCAATCCCTTGATCAAGTTCCTAATATAGGAGGGACCCAGGTTTGGAAAAATGACAAATGGCCACCCCAGAGAATTATAAATACTTATAGCCCAGCCACATGGGCACAAGATGAGAGTTGGAAATGCTGCATGCCTATATATATATATGCTAAATCGCATTATCAGGTTACAAACTGTCTTAGAAATTATAACTAATCAAACAGCCACGGCTTTTGAGCTTATTGCTCAGCAGCAGCCCAAATGCGTGTTGAAGGGCACAGGGAACAGTCAGAAGGGCATCTCCCAAGATGGCGCTAAACACTATATAGACCAAACAAAGACAACAAAGGCCCTAAGCTCCAGCTTTTCCCGTGCGTGCAAAGCTTAAACCTGTGCTCAAATAATTTCTCCCTATAGGAATACTACCTCATAGTCTCCTCCAATAAAACTCAAACACAGCACTGGCCAGCCCCTGCCAGGCCCATAAATATACCCCTCTCCCTGCACAGCTCTCTCTCCTTCCCTTTCTCTCTCACACTCTCTCGCCCTCTCTCCCACTCCCTCTGTCTCTCTCTCTCTCTCTCTGTCCCCTACCCCGCGGTTACAGACCCTCTTCCTCCTCTGTAGCCACAGCTGCTTTAATAAATCTCTTGGTCTTAAACGGGTAAGGAGTCGTCACTGGCTCCTAACTTCTTTCACGTGCAGCTATTTATCAAAACTGTTTAACTTTGGACTACCTGCTGGCGGAAGAAGGAGGAGTATGTGGTAAATTTAATAGCTCCGATTGTTGTTTGCAAATAGATAATAATGGTAAAGTTATAACTAATATAGCCACCAATGTTAAAAAACTTGCCCATGTCCCAGTGAAAGAATGGCAAGGCATAAAACTCGGCAATTGGTTTGAAAACATGTTCTCGGGGCTGGGAGAATTTAAGTATATTACTGGACCTATAGTCCTAATGGTGGGATCCTGCCTTATCCTCCCTTGCATAGTCCCAGTAATTATGAATGCCATTTCTGAGTTTGTGGAAACAGTTGTGAAACGAAAAACTGCGGCCCATATAATGTTAATGCACCAAATTAAGGATAATGATGCTTTAGATCCATAAAAGATCAAGCATCAAAGGGGGGAATGTGGCAGGATGCGGCAAAGGCTCAAATATATTTCTTGTACGATTGAGCAAATAAACACAGAAACATGTAGCTGGTTCAGGATCAGCAGTTGGCCTCATGGCAATCACTAGCCCAGGGCAGGAAAGGGGCTGATAGCAGTTAAAGGTATTTCCTTTTGAAAGGCAAGTTGCAACTTTCCAGGCAGGTTTTGTTTAAGAAGGGCCAAATGGCCCAGAGACTGACTATTTCATGGAAATGGAAAAGAGTCTTACCTAAAACCCCCCTTCTGAAGTTGACAGTTTACAAGCCTGCAGTTCCTGGAAACCATTTGTTCTTTGAAAAATCTGATTTTGCTGAGTACAACCTTGTAAGATTCCACAGGAAGTATGTAATTAGTCAACACGACCCCCCTCCCTTACCTAAATGAGGGTATAAGACCCCACGTCTCCTGTTCTGGGGTGCTCGAGCTTGATTTGAATGCATGAAATTCTCGGCCCGCTGTGCTAGCCAGCGTATAGGAAGTGCTACTTCCTATAATAGTCTCGGTGTCACGATCTCTCTATTTTTCCTGCTACAACAGTGGCACCTTTGCTTTCTGATGGCTCAATGTACATAAACTAATGCACAAAATCATTAAGAATATTGTATAAAATTAGCATGAGGCTATGTGTATAAGGTATTATATATGAAACATAAATTAATTTCATGTCTAGATTTGGGTCCTATCTCCAAGATATCTCATTACATATATGTGAATATTCCAAAATCCAAAATCTGAAACACTTCTGGTCTCAAACAATTTGGATAATGGACACTCAACTTATAGTATCAGCAATCATCACTAAATGCTTCTCAAATAATCACTACTCTATTAACTTTTAGAAAATGGAACACATTGGTAATATTCTATTTCTTAGTTTCTGTTGGTTCATTGTCCATAACTTATACACATTATATATTCCATTTTTATGCATCAAATGTTCTAGTTAAAAAATAGAGAAAACTAACAAATTCCAATGGATTCAGACATGCAACTGCCTCTACTTTTCAAATGAATTAAACTGAATTCTTAAAGTCAGAGCAATTTTTGATTCTTGTTATTTCACTCATTTCTTTTCATTGAGAAATGTAACAAAAAAAGTTTTAATTTTCCTTGACATTACTAAAAACTAACCTTTTTCATGCAGTCCACATAATTATTGTACCGCAGAGTTCCTGGGGGAAATTCATTAGACTTCATAGGGAAGTTAGAAATGATGAGCTTTTCAAGAACATGCTTGAGGCCCTCCAGATTTCCTTGAGTGAGGTTGCTGAAGAACGGAAGAAGAGTGACAGCTTGACCCTGTGGAACAAGGTGGACATATGAAACTACGCTAACTGTGGCTTTCTGAAGACTTGCAAAGAAAACATCATGTGGAGTCGACGAATGACTTCAGAATAACTTCTAAATTGCATTAAAAGCCAATGTGAGCACAATTCTATACCTAGGACACTGTACTCTGACTGTGGATATGCTTGCTCTTTCTACAAATAATGGCCTTAGTAAAAATATACCGGACAAGCTTTGTGTGGAAAGAACATCCTGAATAACACACGGGGTAATTTACAAATACCTGTTGTAAACTACCTGAGAACTTCACACTGAGCTTGAGAGGAACTACGTGTTGATTCCTATCTCCCTTGAATGGCAAATAAATTCTAAGACTATAGAGAAGTGGGAAACTTGTTAATCAGACAGAGCAGAAAATTCTAAAGAATTATTCTCTTCCCAGTAAAAGGATCTCTTTTATTAAGGTCACATTTCAATAAAGTTCAAAATCTAATTAGTATTAACATTTAAAATAAGCAACCTTAAAATGATAACACTTATTAATCCTCAATCCTAAAAATCAAATATATTATTTTTAACATAAAAATAATTGAGTAATAAATTTAACACAGCAATTCCAAAAAGAAAATTTAAATAAGATATATTGAAAGACAAATGGCAATTCATCCAAATATGATAATCGCATAGTTATACTTTATTATTATTATTTTTTTGTTGAGACAGAGTTTCACTACGTTGCTCAGGCTGGTTTTGAACTCTTGCCCTAAAGCAATTCTCCCACCTCAGACTCCCAAGGTGATGGGATTATAGGCATGAGCCACCATGCCCAGATACTGATTATACTATAAAAGAAATATTTTCACATCCTGGAGAGACACAGTGAAGAATGTGCAAATAGCATAACACGAAGCCTATACTTTCCTTCAAGCTGACGGATAAAGGTGACTGCATATGTGAAATAAGCCCAGACACAGAAGGTTATCAAGACAGGGTGATAAGTACCAGGAGGTCTGCTGTGCTAGTCTATTTTTTTATACATGTTTGACATTTTCCATAACAAAAAAAAATTTTAAAATCACAAGTATATAAACATAGGAAAATAAAAGAGGTGTAATCTTTAAAAATATATATTTTTTAACCATTTACCTTTAAAGGTAGATCCAACTTTGTATCATCAAGTAAACTAGTATAAGTGGTAAAGACTTCAGAGAAGGAGCTATGATTTGTATTAAAAGACACAGATGAATCAATCTAAAGAAGAGGAAATAAAAACAGGACATGTTTCTATATTATGTCTCCATTTCCTCTGACACATTTTCAAATGTTCAAATTTCAGAAATGAAGAGTAACCTTTGTTCTTAGGCTTCAATAATATTTCAATAATCTTGTTCTGAAATATTTTAATACTACCTGTTATGAAAATACATGTAAAGGCACACTAAAAAGATGAAAGTGTAAGAAATAAATATAATGGAAAAAGTAAAAAAAGTAGGATAATTAGTAATTAGTTCATCACAATATTTTTTTATTTATCAAGTCAACGAATGACCTTCTGAAGCGATTTTTATCAAATTTTAAAGATACAAGTTCAAAACAACAAACATGACTGATTTTTTTTTTTAGGTTTTCAAAATACCTGTAAAATTTTCCCCAATAAGGCCAACACTGCCATTTTACTCTCAGGAGCAGAATCTTTGGCCCACCACGAATCGCACTTCCTCCAGTTTTGCAGAATTGTAGTTGCAAGCTTCAGTCCTTGTTGTTTCTGATTCGCTCGCTCCCTGAAGCTCTGATCTAACATACCATTCAAAATGGCACTCACCTGAAACAATTTTGTGGCAATTGATGAAAAATTCTTAATATTGAGAATGACAGATATAAAACAAAGCTTACTTCCACTTCACAGCTATTCTTGAAAAATAAAGATGTTATTTCTACAATAGACATTGACTACTTCAAAACTCCTACTTCAAATTTTATCTGAGGTGGACTTTACACATAAATTTTCCCATAGATAGCACAGGGTGGTCTTGTCTGTTTCTGGGTTGCTTCTGGCTTTCATTTTTTTTTTTGAGTTGGAGTCTCACTCTGTCACCCAGACTGGAGTGCAGTGGCATGCTCCCGGCCACCACAGCCTCAACATGCTGGGCTCCGGCAATCCTTCAGCCTTAGCCTTCCAAGTAGCCGGAACTACAGGCGTGCGCTACCATGCTCGGCTAATTTTTGATTCATTGTAGGGACGAGGTCTCACCAAGTAGCCTGCGTGGGTCTCGAACCTGCAGGCTCAGGCAATCCACTCACCTCAACCTCCCAAAGACGCGGGATTACAGGCTTAGCCACCGAGCCCGGCCTCAACTAATTTTCATTAGAGTAATGTTCAATATTCCTGTCACTTTTGACAACAAAAACATTTTTCATGGATGCTCCAAAAAGTATACTTCCGATCTTTTCCCCTATTTTGCACATTTTCTTCTCCCTGAGGTTGGCCTTTGTTTGCTATCTTTGCTGTTTCCAATGGGCCTATCATTAATTTGCCATCAAGGTTCTCCAAATTAATTAAACTGCCTCAGTCCCCCTAAGCCTCTCAGGAAGTCCATCTGCACCATCTCTGCAGGGTCAAGGCTCCCACTCTGCGCTGCCGGTGCCAGGCCCAGAGACGCCATCCACCTCCCTGCCCTGGGGCTGTGGCACTGCTCCAGTATCTTCCTCCCTCTTGGCTCACTGCCTTCCTGCTCTCCATCCAGCAGCCTCCTGAGGAGAGATGCAGAGCAGCCACACTCCTTTGGGGTCTGGCATGTCTGAGGCATCTGTATTCTACTCTCACACATAACTGATTACCTGGCTGGATTTACAACTCCAAGCTGAAGACGTCTTTCGAGAATTGTGGAGGAAATCTGGCTTATGGTCTTGCAGCATCCACACTGCTGCTGAGAAGACAAATGTCATTCAATTTCTTGATTCCTTTACATACCACTGTTCTTTCCCCTTATGGAAACTTAGGGATCTTTTCTCATGATGAAACTCCAGGATTCTGAATTATCCAGAAATGTGCCCTGTTTGCATGCAATGTGCTGAACACCTCATGGCATTTTTCCATTTGAAAAATCAAGACCTTCGTTCAAGGGGATCATCTTGAACTGTGTCATCAGAGAAGGTCTCCTCCTGCCCCTGCCTTCCAGAGCCAGACCCCAAGGGGACTTGCTTCTCTCCTATTTTCTGTTTTGTATCTTCACTCTACTCTCTGTGAGAGTTCCTTGATTTTATCCTCCAAACTCATTTCATTTTTAACTTCTGATGCCTATGCTCATTTCCCAAGAGTTTTTTCTGTTCTCCTTTGTTCTTACTCAGTAGCAATTCTTGTTATTGGATACAGTGTCATCTCACTTACCTGAGGTTTTTCTTCTTACATTTCTGCCTCACTAAGTCTCTGCCACAGTTGCTTTTTTCCTGCTGTCCCATTTGGGGTGCCTTTGCTCAGATTCCTGAGACCCTTGGCCATGGCTCACAGGTAAGACCTGACTGGAAGCGCTGTGCAGTGTGCGGGCCTAGCTGGCAGTGAGGGTGGCTACGTGCTGACCTGGCTGGCAGTGATGTCTATATCTTTATTTTCTCTTAGGGCTTGTCAGGATGTTCTGATATCCTGCCAAGAGTATACACTGAGCTGATAGTACTCCGGGATAAAGGGCCAAGAGCCTCAAAGTCTAAAATTTAGGTAGGATTTCACTTGATTTCCCTATTTTCATGAAGGAATCATAACACGCACCCCTGCCAGAGACATCTATCTTCTCCAGAGAACCGCCACCTCTGACCTTCCCCTAAAGCGGGGAGGAAGAGGCAGGTGCCCTGTCAGAGAGGACTGGCCTTCGCCACTCTTCTCCTCTCAACCTCCCCTCGACGCCGGCTCCCCAAGCCCGACCCTGCTGGGGCTCACACATGCAGCCACGGAATCCCTGTTGAGGTGTCGCCGCACTGCTCTCTCCAACACCCGTCTGTCACACTTGTCCTTTTGATTTACAACTTTTGTTCCTCTTGGGAGTTTTCTCTTTTCTGCGTCCTTTGACAATGCAGTGGTGGTGTTTTTTTAACCCCCTTTCGTCACTTTAGATGGATTTGGGAAAGAAGTAGAGGTAAAGATGTATTTTTTCCTATCATCTCCACCAAAAGTCTGAATGGTTTATAAGCTCAAAATGTTAAAGCTCCTAAGTGTCATAAAAAATTGTGCCATTATAATTTTATTTCTAACTTAGTGCACTCTATCACAAAATATTCCTCTACAACAGACAAGCACTATTTGGAATAAAAGCGCAACTTAGTAGGAAAGTTCCCACAAAATGGTCTTACCAACAGTTAATAGTTTTTGACTGTCTACAGAGCAGGTTAAATTTCAAAATTCCCAAAATTTAGCAAACCAAAGCCAACTACATCTTAAATACTGATCTCCAAAGATTAATGTGAGAAGGGAAAGGTACACAGCATGAACATGCAGGACGTGGTGACTCAGCATTGGGACCACAAAGAGAAAGGTCTACAGAACTGGGAACCAGCACACAGTTGGCGGAGAGCAGAGCCAGCTCTGGGTCCCAAGAGAGGAATGTAAGCTCCAATACCACATCTGGGCAAAAGTCAACATCCTGCATAGCTGTACCTTATACTGGGGCAAAAGATTTTAAAGATATGTCGCATCCATTAACATTCATTAACTATTGACAGAAGTTATGTTTCAGTTTCTTTGATTTTGTTTTTAAACATTAGTAAGAGCTTTTAAACTCCTAGGAAGAAATCTTGTTTTGTTTTAATGAAATATCTCAGTAATATGGCAATCCTTTTAAAAGCATTATATAAAAAGAAATTTCATTACCATTTTGGGATTATCCACTGATGATTTCATAAGCTCCAATACAGCAAGCTCTAGATTTCTTAGCAATTCAGTATTGATCGTTTCTGAGAACAAGCTATAGAAATACTCTCCATGGGAGAAGTTGATGATGTTTCTCTGTGAGCTGGCTAAGGACGCCATGGACAGCATTGCTGGGTTCAGGAGAAGACTCACAAGGTGCTCACACTGTGAGGAAGAAAGAAGAAATGCCATAATCAGGGCACATCTTCAAGGATTACAGAAAGATCCCTGGGGACCTGACAACTGGGAAATCACACAGTACAGTCTAAAGAGAGTCTGATATGCAAAGCCTGGGTTCAAGTTTAAACTGGATATATTTCAACGAGCCTCCATTTTCTAGATTTCTTTCTGGGAAAGAAATCTTCCCTGACCCACATTTCTTCCAAACATCCAGAAAACCTTGTTGTTGCTTTGAGGGTAGAGTCAAGTAAGGGAGAATATTTTTAGACAATCTAAATATGTGACTGTCTACATTAAGTGGCAAAGAGGCAATGAAGAGGTTTCTGCCACTGGAGAAGGGAGGATGCAATGGAGTGAACGCAGAGGACTGGCTGCAGATCTCAGTTATAGCAGGGACTGTTTGAGGCCGTCTCCACACATTTCAGAGAGCTAGGAAGATGCTTTGGATTGTTCTTCATAGAGCCTCCCAAATCACGTATATGAAGGACCACCAGGGATAGACAAGGCCACTTTTCAACAAAGTCAGCTCTATCATCACAAAATGTTCTCTGCCTGAGTCCTTTTGGAAACAAAGCAGGATAGACAAAAATCTCAATTTAAAAAGAATATTGTTCTATTTTGTTTATTTTTTTAAATGTTCCAACCTAGGTCTCATAGTGACACCTTGTCTCTACAATCAAATCAAAAAATTAGCTGGGTGTGGTGGCGTACCTGTAGTCCCAGCTATTTGGGAGGCTAAGGCAGAAGGTTCACCTGAGCCCAGGAGGCTGAGGCTGCAATAGCTGTGATCATGCCACTGCACTCCAGCCTGGGTGACAGAGTGAGACGCCAACTCAAAAAAAGAACAAAAATGTTGAGAAATTGGTTTTTAGAAAGAAAGCTCATGTAAATCAACTACAATACTCTTCCAGCGAAGATCACACCCAACTAAACCCCACTATTTCGAGAGACTGCAAACGAGTTATATATTTCCATCATCAGAGAGCTGTCTTTCCTACCTGTCCTCCAAATGCAAAGGCCAACTCCAGAAGTCCACTGGCCAGCTGCTTACAACTGGGGTCTAGTGAAGGCAGACGCTGTCTCGCATCTCCAGGGACAATGCCTTTATAAACCAGGGAGAGAAGTTCGGTGCCAAAAGAATGATGCGGATCTGCAGACTAAAATAAAGGCAACACTGAAACACCCGGCAAAAAGACATTGTGTAGAAAAATATATCACTCCTTCTGTTAATTAAAAAGCCCGCTTTAGCCAGCACTGACAACAGCTGTCCAATTTTCAGAAAAGTTTTCATTCAGTCTTACTTTCTATGCTGTGTTTTTCATTTGTGCTATCTTGACACAAAGGCACAATAGTAGTTCCTAAAGTTTTTCAGAAGGCTGCCCTGGAAATATCCAAATGTCCTTTATTTTATGTTTGTTTTATATTTATAAATTTTTATACTTACTTTTATATTTAAATTCCAGATAATATCTACATGTCTAAAGCAAGTATTTCTGTAACTTCCATTTCAGCATGCTCAATATGTAAAGAATATTTGACAAAGAATATAAATACACTAATTATCATACTAAAGCTAGAAAAGATGGAGAAACACGATGGCTAGTAACCTGAGATGGTAAAATGACATGGAGAAGCCCAGTTCTGTGAAGTTGTTTACAGGCAGACATGACAGCAGCCAGCTTGGTCCTCTCTAAGTGTGCATCAGGACTGTACAAGTCAATAGCATAAAGTTCCTCAACACTGGCCATGCGAGAAAAACAGGAAAAAAAAACCAGGTGAGTTCTGATCTCCTTAAATTATCAGGATACACAGAAAAATTGGGTGCACTATTATGAAAGCAAACAGAGGCCACCAAACTAGGTCCACACATACTGAACTGGCATGGAAATCAAGCACGGCACTAACCATGTTTGAAGCTCACTCACACTTGGTTCAAGGAAGGTCCCTGCTACATATGATTTCCAAACAAATTGCACCAGCCACACCACTGATGCGACCCTTTCCTAAGGATGTGGGAGTAGCTACAGGAGCACCACAATGCTGCACTGGGACCTCAAGAGCTGGGACAATGCACCCCTGAGCATGACCTAAGTGCCCACCTCTGCACTGTTATTTTCTCCCTCAGGTGGGCCACCAGGATGTCTTTGTACGGGGACTTCTTCAGTGCTTTCATCAGGTTCACACAAACACTGGGAAGATGATTCATAACCTGGACGTCACCAACATTGAAACCTACACCTACAGGTTCACACAGTGTTTTCACCAAGAGTTCCATCAGGTTTGTGTTACACAAATCCTTCTCCAGGAGCTGTAAAAGATTATTTGAATAAAAAGTCTTTGTCAACCAGCATTTATATTTTCACCAGGTGTAGAGTCCACGAGGTTGAGAATTTCTGCCCAACTAGGGCAGGGGTGAGTAGTTTCTCTGTACAGGGGTGCACAGTAAAGCACCGCATGGTTTGTGGGCCAGCTGGTCTCTGCAGCAACTCCTGACCCATCACAGCATGAAAGAGTGTGGACAACAGGTGAACAGAGGCACACAGTCATGTTCCGATAAAACTTCATCGATGGGAGCAGGGAGCAAGTGGGGCTATGCCTGTGGACAGCTTCCCAGCCCCCAGGTCAGGGCACTGCTGTATCCCAGGACCCAGAACAGGGCCTGACCTGCAGCAGGCACTTTGTATAGAATCCCTTGATAGACTGACTTGTGTTTACACAATATGCCTCACAGATACATCTGCAAATATTTGCCAGTGCCAGGTTCCTAAGGTAGATGTTTGATCATAGTATTAAATGCAGCATCCAATAAAACAATTAGAAAAAAACTATTCTGTATTTTATTCACACAATGAAAAACTAAAGAACATGTAATTTTGTTATTTTCAAGACTAGATGGTACATCATGGTGACTATAGTTAATAATAATATATTGCATTCTTGAAAACTGCTAAGAGAATAAATTTTAAATGTTCTCATCACAAAAAAATGTTACCTGTGTGAGGTCACAAACATGTTAATTACCTTGATTTAGTCATTCCACAATGTATACCATATCAAAACACCATGCTGTATACTACAATTATATAGTCTTTATTTGTCAATTAAAATAAATAAGAATAGATAACTCTTCTGACAACATAAAGTCCTAGAAAAGTCAAAACCACTTCTAACAAGAACTTTTCAATCACTTTGCCAGTACCAAATACTGACCTCAAATTAACAAAGCATCAGGAAAAAAACCCTACCTTCCATCCTTCTGGAAAGGTGTTGAGCAGAGTTGTGGTAAATTCCATAATCCGGACCACAACTGTGCATTTGCTGTAGTTGTACTTTTCTCCCTCTTGAGGGCTGGGTCTGCTACCTGCTGCCCCAATGCCAAAGCACTTTTCTACTGCTGTAATATCTTGCATGGCAATGTTTTCTAAAAAGAAAGCTACTGACTTCAAAAGTGAAGACTGTGCTTCAGTACCTAGAAGTAATTATATTAAAATATTAATATATGCTACCTTCCAACTTCACTAAGATTAACATAAAATTGCTTCATTAAGTATAGACATGATATACTTTTAGGCAAAATTCAAAAACTTTCAAAAGGAAAAAACAGCTCAATTAAAAGCTTAACAGAAAGATACTTTTTTTCATTTCAAAATTAATACAACCCAAATATAATTCATAAAAACACCTTCATAGAAGGCCAGGTCTAGATACTACTTGCGGAAATATAAATTAATATGATCATTCAAAAGGGCAATTTGGCAGTTAATACCAAATGCTTTAAAAATATGCATCTGGCTGGGCATGATGGCTCATGCCTGTAATCCCAGCACTTTGAGAGGCTGAGGTGAGGAGACTGCCTGAGCCCAGGAGTTCCAGACTAGCCTGGGCAACATGGAACCTCATCTCTACAATAAATTTTTAAAATTAGCCAGAAGTGGTGGCACATGCCTGTAGTCCCAGTCATATTTGGAAAGCTGAGGTGTGGAAGGATTACCTGAGCCCAGCAGGTTGAGGCTGCAGCAGCCATGATCATGCCACTGCACTCCAGCCTGGGTGAGACTCTGACTCAAAATAAATAAATGCATCCCAATTTCAATCAACTGTTAAAAAAAAACAACTCAGATGTTTTCATTCAGCACTGAAATGTCAACCTAATGGAATGATGGCAGAATTATAAAGATATGTTTATAAGAATGTTCATCTTAGCATTGTTTTTAATAATGGAAAAAAAGAGAAAACTCTAAATGTCCTTCAAAGAAACAACACAAACTATGACAGTGGCCTTCCGAACGGGTATGGATGGCCACCCGTCATCCTGTGAAATCAATTTTCAGATCAATTCCCATATGGGCTATTTCATAAAACTCAACTGTCTGAAAACACACTCAGGCTACATCTTCTGTCCCATCTTGCCTCACTCACCAGGATGTTCCTCCCACTTACAAAGACAGACCCATGCTTATCTCTCCCCAATCTTACTGTACTTTAATACCCTAGGGAGAAAAGACCTTCAGAGCCCCAGAGGGACAATTTAAGATACTTCGATACATGTACACAAGAAGTGTATACACAAGTAGAGATGCAATACATTCACATAACTTCATTAAACATGGTCACTTAAATTAGATCAAGCTGTTATTTACTGACACAGGAAAAGTGAAGAAAGATAATGACTGGGTAAAAAATCCTTTTCTGAGGGTTTCTGTTTTCAACAAAATTTAATCAAACTGTCAACTGACATCATTAACAATAATTTTGACAACAGATGTATTTTGATATATTCAAAGAATTGAGAGACCATATATTAAGAACTACATTTTCATAATCAAATATCCTGGAATCCAACAGACCATCAAACTGTTAAGACATATTCCAACCACAGACATGTTAAATGTGGAAAATTGTGCGTTACAGAATTAATCAAATATGGCACTTACTTATGCAAACAAGTTTTTTAGTACTAAAATCTATACAAACAAAAATAGAATTCCAACCATATAATTTTGCTTTTTATTTATTTATTTTATTTCTTATTTTTGAGTTGCAGTCTCACTCTGTCACCCAGACTGGGGTGCAGTGGCTGCTCCGGGCCACTGTAACCTCAACCTGCTGGGCTCCGGCGATCCTTCCGCCTCAGCCTTCCAAGGAGCTGGAACTACAGGCGTGCGCTACCATGCCCGGCTAATTTTTTATTTATTGTAGAGATGAGGTCTTGTCAAGTTGCCCAGGCAGGTCTCGAACCCGCGGGCTCAGGCAATCCACTCACCTCAGCCTCCCAAAGTGCGGGATTACAGGCTGAGCCACCGAGCCCAGCTAATTTTGCTTTTTATATACAATGATTATCAAAATTTGTATTCTATTTATGTTATTGTGGTGGCAAAAAATGTAATGTGCCATAAGAACAAATGTAATGATGACACAAAAGAAATCTTTAAGCATGTAGACCCTTTTGTTGAAAAGGGTTATAGTAAAACCTATTACTAGAGCTATAGTAATAACTAGGGTAACAGTAAAATCTTAGGCATAAAAACTTAATACTTTGGGATAAAATGATGTGGGGATTATGGAATGAGAATATAAACTAAGGGATTTTGCAAAATTTCCAATAAAGAAACTATTTTTTTTTTTTCTTTTTGGAGTTTGAGTCTCACTCGCCCAGGCTGGAGTGCAGTGGCACGCTCACAGCCACCCCAGCGTCGACCTACTGGGCTCCAGCGATCCTTCCACCTCAGTCTTCCAAGTAGCCGGAACTACAGGAGCACACAACCACACCTGGCTAATTTTTTATTTCATTGTAGAGACGAGGTCTCACCAAGCAGCCCGGACTGGTCTCGAACCTGTAGGCTCAGTCAATTCACTCACCTTGGCCTTCCAAAGTGCTGAGATTATAGGCTGAGCCACTGAGTCCACCAAGAAACTATTTTTTAAAGCTGATGATGTTAAATATAAAACTGTTACAGTATATAGTGTCTACTGAACTCCTTTTTTAAAATTAGTGTTAACAGTTTTATATATTTTTAAATGTCAACAGCTAAAACACACCAGAAATTATAACTGAACAACTAACACTAACCAGTGCTGGAAAAGATTTCACTACTTTTATGAACCATCCTTCTGAGCAGCATCTCATGCTGAGCCCATTCTCAGAACTATACACAGTATATAGGGTCTATCGAACTCCTTTTTTTAAAGTAGTGTTAACAGTTTTATATATTTTAAAATGTCAACAGCTAAAACATACCAGAGATTATAACATTCTCAATTATTTAAAGCTATGAGGAAAAACTGTATTTGTCAACTTGAAAATGGGAAAGAAGGTACATTGTTTTTAATGTCTTTCTCTGTCCATGGGGTAAATAAACAGCTTGAAGACTATTTAACTGTAATACAGTCACGTAATTTAGTAATATATTGTCATTTAAACTATATCAAGCTGTATATACTGACACAAAGATGTCCAATGTGCTTGTTCAGTTTCTTTTTTAAAAGCAAATTACAGAAAAGCAAGCATAATGACTCCATTAAGTACAAAATGAGAATAAAATATATACAAAATATATACAAAAAACAGTTTTAAGTGAATAGAAAAAATCTAGAAGATTAAATACTAAACTGTTATTACTTTTTTATCACTAGGGAATGCAATTAGAGGAGGGGGTATTTTACTTGTGTTTTTTTTCTTGTTTAAATGTTCAAAATGAAATCTCTTAAACCAATAAATTCAGGTTATGATTTGCAACTGAACAACTAACACTAACCAGTGCTGGAAAAGGTGTCACTACTTTTTTGACCCATCCTTCTGAACAGCATCTCATGCTAAGCCCATTCTCAGAACTATATAAAATCTTGTGTCTGAACCCCAGCATGCACGTGCACGTGTGTACACACACACCTATAGATATACATATACAAACACACACAACACATAGACTGTACACGCCCTGCTAGCCAGCTTCTACCACCCTCAAGCTGAAAATAAGAAAGCCTGGTCCCTCAGTCCCAAACTCCCATAACAAGGACTTTATCTCTGACAGAAGCTGAGAATGACAGTTCCTTTAGGAAAGCACCACCAAGCACTCCAGTGGACGCTCTAAACTAAAAATCATTCAAATAATAAAACATCTTGAGTGGCAAGTCCAAGGTTCAGTCATGGGAAAGAGAATTTACAACAAGCCTGGCTAGGGACCCTGAAGCAGAGAATACACCTGCCAGAGGCCTGGGCGCTCCAGGTGCCCTGCCCCTGAGCACTGCCTCTGGCCTTCACGGGTCCCACAGAGGTCACCAGAAGGACCCATCTCCTGCCCAGCTCGGTCTAAGGAGCATCCCCTGCAAACACCATCACCACCACCAGACAATAAAAAAGCTATGGAACACAAAAACGTTCCACAGAAACATTTAGAACAGAAAAATAAAGACACTATACCGTAACTTGGAATGAGATGAGAGAACCTCCTGTCAGGAGGAGCCCTTTAAGCTGCTACAAACGAAAACCTCCCAAGGCTATTTTACGAAAGGGTCCCCAAGAGCCTGTGACAAAGGCAAGGAATTGAGAGGCTCTGGACAGGCCTGCGTAGAATCAGCTTTGTCGTCTGCATCACACCTCTCACTGTGAGATTGTGTAAGAATGTGGCTGAGGTCTCTGCACAGCACCTGTTGTCACACTGTTAACTGGAATTCCAATGGAGCAGCAAGCCGTCTGCTCAGGACCTTGGGCAGAGCTGGGCACGCTGACGTGGTTCGTGAAGGTGACCTACCCAGGACCTCCAGGGCCTCCACGGTCTTCTCCCCAAGGAACGTGTTGTAGCATTCCAGAGCAGCCAGGAGCAGGTCCAGCCAGCAAAGCACAGCTCGCAGGCTGAACAACCCCTGCAGGTGGAAAAGGGTTGGCTGAGCAAGGATGCCTGAGGCCCGGTCATGGCCACCGCCACCTTCAAAGGTGCTTATGAGGAAAGAGATATCTTCTTTCTTGATAATATCCTTCAACCATAAAGAAGGGGATGTGTTGCCTTAAAAATAGGATTAAAACACATATAAATAACTACCACACAGACAAAGGTATTTAATCTAATCTTTGCACTTAATTAAAATTTCAAAGTACTATGGGAAAATCATTTTATTTTACCTAGCACTCATGTCTCATCTCACTGTAATTACTCCCAAGAAGGTATATCAAGCTAAGCCACTCTCTTGTTTCTTTAAGTGTTATGAAAATAATAGGACACCATTTGGAAGAGACATAAACTAAGAACTTTTCCCATGCCTTCATTCTTTAAAAATATTCCTTTTTTTAAGTCACAAAGAGCATTGTAACCCTTCGGTTCTGATGCTGGTTGTGCTACCTCCTGGCTATGGGGATGTGACCCCTTGGTGTCTCAGTTCCCTCATCTATAAATAAGAACAATAATATCTGCCTCTTAGTTGTTACAAACATTAAATTAACTAAAGTGGTTAATATTTTAACATGTGCTTAGAGTAGCTCTACTATATGGTAAGTGCAGTGTTTATAATAAATGATCTGCTTTTTAAAAGATGTCTTCTATTAGATATTAAACTTTTTATAAATCAAAGAAAGAAATCAGTAAAACCACATTTTGTATGCCATGAAATAAGTGACAATGAAAAGGTCAAATCACTCTAATGCTAATGATGTTAGAGAGGAATCTAAAACAGTCATGTACCTCCCATGCATTAAGAGGAGGACCTCTTATATACTAAGAGGAGAAAACTCTCCATTGTGTTCACTAGTAAGAAACAAAGAATATTATAGAAATGAGTGAAAACACAGTAAGGTATCTGAATTCTATATCAAGTGCTAGCAAGAGTGACAAGAGAAAGTACAGAAAGAAAGGACGCAGAAAGGCAGATCGAGAGTAAGCAGACAGAACATCAGCACAGGGAGACAGGCCCAAGATACAGAAGAACACACGAGGGACCTGCGAACCTGACCAGGCTACTTCTTCCTCCGCTTCCTCCTAGAGCTGCCATCTGCTTCTGGGCCTGGGCCATGCTCGCCTTCCATGCAGCATGTCCACACTCTGAGTCTCAGCATTTAGAAGCCACCATAGTTGCTCCTCTCCCACAGCCTGATATGTGGGAGGGATGAGCCTGCACCTATTGTTACATCCTACTGATGCAGGCCTCCCCACTGCACCTTAAGAGACTCCTAACACTGTCCCTTAAAAACCACTTGGAGCCAGGTGGTGGTTCATGCCTGTAATACCAGCACTTTGGAAGGCAGAGGCGGGAGAACTGCCTGAGTCCAGGGGTTTGAAACCAGCATGGGCAACTTGGTGAAACCTCGTTTCTACAATAAATCAAAAAATTAGCTGGGCATGGTGGCACGTGCCTATGGTTCTTACCACATGGAAGGCTGAGGTGGAAGGATCACCTGAGCCCAACAGGTCGAGGCTATGGTGGCTGGGAGCAGCATACCACTTGCACTCTAGCCTGGGTGACAGTGAGACTCTGACTCAAAAAAAAAAAAAAAAAAAAGCCAAAAAAACAATAACAACAAAAGAAAACACTTAGGAGGCGGCCTTGCATGGTGGCACACACCCATAGTCCCAGCTACTCAAGAGGTTAAGGCAGAAGGATTGCTTGAGTCCAGGAGTTCAAGTCCAGCCTGGCCAACGTAGCAAGACCCTGTCTCTAAAAAAAAGAAAGAAAATTTAAAAATTAACAAACAAATAAAAACGACACTTTGAGGAAACAACACCAAAGAAAAAGAAAGGTGGATGCACCCAGGAAGGTCACCAAAGAGGTAAATCAAGAAAAATTCACTAATTGTATACAAATTATACGTTAAATGACAGGCAAGACTCATCTGCTGCCTGGTGTCCTTTGTCTAGCAAAAACAACCCTGAGCACTTCAGTCCTGTTTATTTAGTTCAGAATATCCGAGGTCCCAATACAGTCAAGTGAGAAGAAAAGAAAAGCAACAGAAATGTCTGGGATCCATAAAGATGCTATCACTAGGAACAGTGAGTACTGCAGGAGAGTCACACACTAAATGTGGGGCAGGGGTCTACCAATAAGGAGTCCTACTTGCACAACATGCGGGCCTCCGTTTCCTTTACAAATAAGGAGAACACAACACCTACTGCCCCACCTCCCCCACCGCGGGATCACGGACTGCCTTCACAGGGTTGTTGTGAGAGTGACTTAGCATATTAGAAACTTTGTTAATTAGAAGCAGTAAGCAAATTTAAAATACTTATAATGTTTGTTAAACTATCTAAATTAAAAATAAATATACATTTCTAATTTGTACATAAAAGGATAGTATAGTAGATAAATTTAGTGTATATTTATATAGCACATATAAAATACAGTTGAATTCAACTATATTTATATATATGCTATAGTATATAACGTTATAAAATACTCTTATATAGTATAACAAAATTCAGAGTCAGAGACACATGAAGTCATTGTTTCCCTTTTGTTCCATGAAGAAACAGCCCACAGCAGACCTCAGGTTCTGGCGAGCAGCAAGCCCTCATGCCCTCAGTGCACAGTGCCTGCCCCACACAAGGCGTCCTCCATGCATGGCACTGTGCCCCGGACCAGGCTGCCACACAGGGTGGGGAAGCCAGGGACTGCTCGTCCTGGGCACTGCAAAGCTACTGACCCTGGGTTTGGATTAACGGAGAAACTGAGCAGTGCATTTACTCCTGAGAAGCTCAGTAGTTGTTTCAGTCCATAAGCACAGTTTAATGGTTTAGTGAATTATTACTGAAAAGCACAGGACCACTGCCTTCTTTTTCTATCACAATGATCTGAGATCATTCAGACTTAGACGGGCAATTTCCTATTAATTACATGTGAAAATATTACCGAAACAGCATTATTTCATTAACTGTTAATACTCTGCATCTTAACTGAGTATCATGTTAATTGCATCGGTCACCCAATTCTTCTTTATTTTGAATGAGACAATATACTATAGTGAAATAGTTTACTCAGAAATTCTAAATTTACTTCTTCTGTATCATTTGACTAACATCAACATAGCATTTTTTTTCTTTCCTTCTATACTTCTTTGAGAAATGTATGGTCATAATTTATCATATGTCATACAAATCTGAAATGATTACTGAACACACGTTTTACATTTATTAAAAACATATTCATAACATTCATTTAAATAATGGAAAGATCATATTTTAATTAAGTCCGCAACTCTAAGCTACTGGCAAATGCCAAGTCCTGGGTCAACTTACAGAGATAAGGATCACCATACCTGGCAACAAAGGAACAAATTTATAAAAGAGTTCTATGGATTTGTGTCGACATTCTGTCTGAGGCCTCCCACACTGGGCTAAAAGCCACTGGACCAGATCCAATAGACACAATGATGCGGAAGGTGGAAATCCTCTGCACAGAAACAGCACATTGCCATTAATACCTCTCTAACATGCAACATTTAGCTACCAAGAGTTTAGAAACAATAAACTCATTTTTACCACACTGATACATGTAGGCACCTCAGTAAAAGGCATTCAATTTATTTTTAATGTATTATCATGAGAATACAATCAAAAGATCACAGATAAATAAGTCCTAAATGCTGCTAACCTTCACTTTTAATTTCTTTTTTTATCTGGAGAAAAGTTAAAAAGCACTTCTTAAAAGAGCATCAAGTAGTTTCATGTTTCCTTTTCAACGTACCGTAAAACAAAAGGAGGATTAAGATATAAAACAGTGCTTCTCAAAGTATGGCCCTATCTGTACACTTACCATAAATACAAGTTCTCTGGTCCTAACCCAGACCTACTGACACAGAACCTGAGTTTTAACTAGACCTCCAGGTAATTCTGTTGCATACTGAAGTTTGAGAATCAGTGCTCTAAAGAGATGTCATATGAATTCAGTTTAAGACAACAAAGAAAATATTAATATCTAGTCTACAGGGGATCATGCTTCTCCAGAGTGGTGGCCACCAGCACAGACATCAGAGTTCCCAGATACCCTGCAGAGATCCAGAGAGCCTGATGCGAAGCAACCCACTCTGTCTGAGAATGAGACACTCCTGGGATAGAAATGTGGGCAAAGACTGGAAACCACTGACCAACACTCCAGCCTTGGCTCTGAGCAGCTTTGTTTCATAATTCTATAATAATTCTACATCTGTCAAAATCCTACTGTTTTGATATTCAGTTCTTATACTTCAAAATGTACCGCCTAACTGTTCATGTATATTTTAGTCAAATAATCCAAATAAAATGTGCATTCAAACTTAGCATAGGTAAAATATTTCAGTAATAAAACTAAATTTTAATTTGTATCTACTATCCCAACCAATATCGAATACCTTATACCTTATCTCTTAGACCGAGCATTTTTCAAACATTAAGTTTTTTAAGGTCTTTGGAAAACTGACTCTTCATAATTCCACACATTCCTTGTTCTGAAAATTAATCCCTATACTTCCACATATCTATCCAGGTTGTCCTGTTGGGAAGAAAACAGAAAGGGAAACAAGATCATTTACCGTGGCAAACGTCGTTTTTCTGCTTTGTTTAAAGAAATGTGCTTCTTTTCAATGATGCGACTTAGGTGATCAATGGCATCACAACACTGTTGAATTGTACCTGTTTTCAAGTACAAAAATATATTTACAAAGATATACAATTGACTTTTTTTTTTAGTCAAAGACTCATTCTGCCACCCAGGCTGGAGTACAGTGGCATGCTCATGGCTATTGCAGCCTCGACCTGCTGGGCTTAGGTGATCCATCCATGTCAGCCTTCCAAGTAGCTAGAATTACAGGTGTGCGCCACCATGCTCAGCTAATTTTTTGATTTATTGTAGAGATGAGGTCTCACCAAGTTGCCCAGGATGATCTCAAACCTCTGGGGGCTAGGCAATTCTCTCAACTCCGCCTTCCAAAGTGCTGGGATTACAGACTGAGCCACTGTGCCCAATCAACAATTGATTACTGTTGCCAAACTAGTATTATAAATTGATTGGCCTAATTTTTTAATTAAAAATGTGATTTAACTATAGATTTAATATAATTTTATCCCTTAGAATACAAAATGCAAATAAATGCATTACACTGTGTGTTCAAAAACAAATACAAAACCCACAGTTAAGACTGCAAGAATAGGCCGGGCTCGGTGGCTCAGCCTATAATCCCACACTTTGGGAGGCCGAGGTGAGTGAATTGTCTGAGCCCGCAGGTTCGAGACCCATCTGGGCAACCTGACGAGACCTCGTCTCTACAATAAATCAAAAAATTAGCCGGGTGTGGTAGTGTGCGCCTGTAGTTGCAGCTAATTGGAAGGCTGAGGCGGAAAGATTGCCGGAGTCCAGCAGGTCAAGGCTGCGGTGGCCGGAGGTGGACACTGCACTCCAGTCTGGGCAACAAAGTGAGATTCCGACTCAAACAAACAAACAAAAAAACTGCAAGAATAGCATGGTGCAAGTACACACACACATCACACACAAAGAACAATGCCATGCCTGACTGGAAACTGCACCACCAGCCACCCAAAGCACAGTCTCACATAGTGGATTGAGATGAAAGAGACCCGCAGGTGGTACAAACCCCACATATCAGCCCAGACCTTATGTACCCCAATTTAAGGCTATTATTTAAAGGGCAAAAGTTCCTTGACCTCTCTTCTTCTATACAGGAATAAACTATGTTATACTTTAATAATATAGCCATTATAGAAAGATAATAGAAGATGGTAAAACCACACAGAAAAGTCCAGAATTGTTTAGGAAAGGAGCCTTATACAAATTATTTTGACATCTGTCAAGGTGTCAAAGAAAAATTTTTCTATGTCTTTTAAATATGGCAGTGATTTTAGAAAGAGTAAAGTTTCACTTGTTGAGAAAATTCACCTACATGGAAAAAATCAAGATAAACAAAGCAAATTAAAGCTTTGATGGCAAAGACTAAATTTTAATCATTTTTGCCCACAGTAATCTATCAACATGAAGGATAACAGAGCTCAGTATGTCTTTTAAAAAAGTAAACAGAAATCAAGATCTGGACCAGTAAAAGAGAAGTCCTGCAGCCCACTGCTGTATGATACTCTCAGTCACTGACATGCTCCAGCCCTCCACGCCCTGTGTCACATGTTGAAACCAATGGGAAGCTCTCTGAGAAGTCTTGTAGTTCAAAAACTCTATGACACTCCTAACCACTTCTGGAGATAATTTAATTATAAAGACAGTCATATACAACTCTCTTAGCTACTTTAGCTCACTTCTGATTTAATGTCATTACACTCCTCAATCAAGGCCAAAATAGCGTCATCACAACCTTGTGTTTTGTTTTTTGCAGAGACAGGATCTCACTATATTGCCTAAGCTGGTCACAATTTTGTAACGAGACCTACTTTCTAAAGTTATCATTAGTGAGTTCAGAGACAATGGCCACATCTTGGTGGTTATTACATCCAGCTTCCTCAACATTGTGGATCTGTGTATTTTTATGTTTTGTGTCACTGTAGTAACTGACTGGTTGCATCTCTCTCCTGTCCTGGGTAGGATCTTCAGTCAATCAAGGATCAAGTTGTATGGCCACCGGGAGCATACGGTGATTCAAAGAAGACGAGGGCATGAAGGAACTCTTTCCAAGTTGGATTTGAGGCACTGGAGGTGGTTAATCTCTCCTTCACATCCCATTTATTTGAGAGATGCGGAGGGAAACAATTAAAAAACACACCACCTTATGGGAGAATCACCTAAGCCTTAACTGCTGCGTTAGAAAGCTCTTCAGACCGGGAAGACAGACAGAACCAGTATGCAGGCAGAATGCCAGGCTGAGACATACCTAAGGATTTCGCGTCTGTGTGTGCTAAGGCCAGACTTTCCATGTACACCACCAAGGCTTCAAACACAAATTGTTCTACCAGAGACTCTTCTTCTCTGCAAAATAAAGAATATGAAACCTCACCTGAGAAAACAATGAAGCAGAAAAGGCCAAGAAAAAAAGTACTGGAATTTAAGAGTTAATTTAATTAAATTTGTTGGGTTTTTTGTGGTTGTTGTTTCACTCTGTTGCCCAGGCTGGAATGCAGTACATGATCAAAGCCACCACAGCCCTGACCTGCTGGGCTCAGGTGATCTTTCTGCCTCCGCCTTCCAAGGAGCTGGGACTACAGGCACACACCACCATGCCCAGCTAATTTTTGTATTTATTGCAGAGACGAGGTCTTCCCGCTTTGCCCAGGCTGGTCTTGAACTCCCAGGCTCAGGCCATCCTCTCGCCTCGGCCTCCCAAAGTGCTGGGATGACAGGCGATGAGCCACCGTGCCCAGCCTGTTTTTTTAAAAAACAGGTTCAAATATTTTAAAACATTAAACACTCAAAATACTTCTCAAAGAGCAGACTAAAGACAAAGCCTCCGTGAACCAAAGAGGTAACACTGACTCCTGCTCCATAACTCCCTCCTCCCTGCCACCCGCAGAGCTATACACTGCATATACCCTTAGTACCACTGTTCGGGTCACACTTTCACACAGCTCATTAACATTCAATGTAGCCAGGTACGGTGGCTCACACCTATAATCCCAGCACTTTGGAAGGCAGAGACAAGAGGGCTGCCTGAGTACAGGGGTCCGACACCTGCCTGGGCAATTTGGTAAGACCTTGCCTCTATAATAAATCAAAAAATTAGCTGGGCGTGGTAACGCATGCCTGTAGTTCCAGCTACTTAGAAGGCTGAGGTGGAAGGATAGCCTGAGCCCTGAGGGCCGAGGCTGCAGTGGCCAGGAGCAGGACACTGCACTCTAGCCTACATGACAGATGAGCCTCCTACTCAAAAATAAAACCAGAAAACATTCACTGTAGGAGAAAAGAAGATCTGATATCATTATTCACATTCCTATAAAATAAAGAAGGTAAGCTCTTAACCTAAAATAAATCAACCTCAATAGTGAACTCTAAGCCTTTTATAAGCATACCTGGCACGTGCAAATAATTAATTAGGTCAGCAACATCTG